TTTTGATATCAGGCTTTCCTTTAGCTCAGCAATACTCCTTTTTGTATTTTTCCTTCAGCCCATGTTTAGTTATTTTTTTCTCAGGGTGCCACACTTGCCTGGGTGCTGTCCGTGGAACCCAGTGTACTGCAAACAGTCCAACTTTTATATCAATAAATATAGCTGTTCATTTTGAAGGGCTCCACAGCATTCACACCCTTGGGTCCCCCTGGGAATGGGGAACTTTATATGGCTTTCGGTGTGTGCCCTTACATACACGTGTGAATATATTCCTTTGGTAAAGCCCTGCAAGTGGCTCCTCCGGGCGACAGGTGTCCCTGCTCTAGTCCAGCACCACTGGGAACACTGGCTTCACTGTTTATTGCTCCTTGCAGTGAGGCAGGACATACGCCAGGGGGAGCCATGAGGCTGTGCTGGCAGAGGGTCTTGGGAAGGCATCACATGGGAGTTGGACCCAGAGTGGGTGGTTCAGGGGAGGGGTTAAATGAAGTAGTCTTTTGCTCCCTATCGGATGCTGTTGGAGGGATGGGAACAATTGTAAGACTGGGCTTTCAGTGAGTCTTTTTTTTGTTTGTTTTTTTTCCTGTACTGGCAATTGAACTCACGACCTTGAGCTTGCCAGGCAGGCACTATGCCACTGAGCTAAATCCGCAGCCCCCAGTGAGTCTTGTCGAGACCTACGCTTAATGAGGTAAGGCTGCAGTGGTCAAGGAACCAAGACTGAGAGGTGCTTGACCTTTTTGTGATTTTGAAAATGTTCTTGCTCTGTCTGTTTAGACACCCTCATGGAGCAGTCTTGTTTTGTTTGATCCACCGCCGTCCTAGTGCCTTGGCCTGTGCTCGTGTTCTGTGACTGTTTATGGTCAAGACCCGGCTGTGAATTCCCCACTAACTTCTGGATTTCAGACGCTGTCTTGTTCTTCCTCAAAAGACATGCACTTTTCCCCCTGACAGCCCAGCTGACCCCTTGCAAAGCTGCACTTTCCTTGGGGCTGGGGTTGGAACCCAGGGTCTCCTGCGTGCTGAGCATAAGCTCTATACCCGGGCTACAACCCTAGCTCAGATACACACATAGTTTTAAATTTGGGGAGCCCACTACCCAATGCTGTGCCCATGGGTAGCCTCTCCCTCCCTCAGGGCTAGATTCCCTTTGATGTAGTGGGTTGTCCCCTAGGCTCCTCTCTGCCTGTCAGCTCACTGCTCAGCTCAGCGACCTTAGTATCCTAGCATGGCCCAGGGGTGCAGCTCTGTCCTCCGTTCTTGGTCAGCATGCTTCACTGTGGGTCCTAAGCTCCTTGTTTCCATTCATGTGATTCCCCCTGGAAGCCTTTAAGAGCTGTGTCAAGGTGAACCAGAGGTGTGAGATGTGCCTGTATCCACAGGAGACAGTCAGAACAGAGATGACCAAAGTCCTTTCCTTCACTTCCCGGGGTGATTTGGCAGGAAATGGGAAGCAAAGCCCAATGCTAGCACCTGCCCCTGGTGAGGAGCTGGTCCAGAGTCTCACCTCTGCTGCCTCTAGCTGTGTGATGTGGGTAGCTCACTTAACCTCTCTGGGCTCAAGTGTTCATGTCTCTACTTCCCCGTAGTGCTGTTGATAGGTGGGCCTGGCCTCCAGGTCCTTACAGGTTGAGATCAGCCATTTTCCTTCTACTCTCCCTTTGTAGCACACTGGGCATTATTTTTAATTCCTTGCCAGGTAATTAACTCATCAATCTCCCTTTCTCCAAAGCTAGCTTCTGGAGGTTTATGTATTCTTTGGACTAGGCTGTATTTCCCTGTTTCTTCATGTGGCTTCTTACTTTTCTTCGTTGGTGGTTGTTCATCCAACTAGCCACTTCTCCCTGTCTTTATCTGTTGGCTTTACACGGAGAAAACCTCTACCAGTGGGCCTGGCTAGCGATTGTGGGGGCCTCACAAGCCTTCTCTGGGGATGTAT